GAGAGAGAGAGAGAGAGAGAGAGAGAGAGGGTGTCTGGTAATTGTGGAGCTTCATATTCCATCGTAGATCTCGACGGGCCAGCTGAAGCCGTTTTATTTTTCCAACCAATTAAAACGATCGACGACAACGACGTTTCGTTCGCGCTGTTTAATAATTCGGTGTGTTGCTTCGTGAGCGCCGGCACGATCGTGCCGGGAATATGACGAATGGCTATACGATTAATTTGTTGTGTTATGGTGTATGGGCTGAGATCGTTGCTCGGGGGGTCGCTCTCTATTTCTCCGAGAAACGTCAATCGTCTCAATAAATCGAGACGCGCGGAGTGGTTATCAGTGGACGCGCTTCTCGTCTCAATTAGAGACTGCGCTTTAACCGGGCACTTGATAAGCATGTCTCAGTTTCAATAACTTTTTTTTTTTTTCAAACAGGACTCTCCGATTTTCTTTGTAATCCAGTAAACGCGAACTAACATATAACATTACATCAATAATTTCCCACTCAGCAACGTGAGTGTAATATATTCTTGATAGAGAAATGTATGCAGTTTGCGTGAATATCCGCCTAGTTTTATTGTCTAATAATGTATTCTCATCAGTTGCAAAAATACTGCGGAAAAGTGGACAAGAACTTATAGGATAGGATTTTGTTCAGTGGTTGAAGCAGTTTATACAGTATGTGGACTGATTCTTGCCAAAATATAGTAATACTAATTCTAGTTTTATAATGTGCACACGTATTATAGTGTCTGTCGTAAATAAATTTAAAACACACACACACACACACCACGCGCGCGCGCGCACACACACACACACACACACACACAGGGTGTCTCAGATCACAATCTCTCGTGAGGACGTAGAGCGGATTGAGATGAATACAAAAGTCTTGTATCATTTTGCGATATTCGCAATAATAGTTGAGATATTAATTAAAAAAGATTCGTAAATGATCATATGGTAGATATGGTACATGAGCTGCAATAGCGCCGTCTGCCGTTGTATACTTTTACATTAAGTCAAACTGAACAATAAAGTCCTCTACCATTTTGAAGATGACAACATAGATTTTCAGATATTAATCAAAGAAAATTATTACAAGATTGTGTAATTTGTGTAATCAAATTTAATCTGAATACATTCTGAATACTGATAAATTTAGCATTTTAATAAAAAATATTAAATTAAAACAAAAATTTGACTTACTTATTATAGTGGAGCTTTTTCTTCGATAAAGTTTCATAATATTCTTATGAAGAGAACACATTCTTCTTTAGAGATGATGAGTTTTGTTCTGAAATTCCTGAGTACATTGAAAAAATACTTGAAAATTTATTTGCAAGAAAACTTCATTGAGAGAACTTTACATCGAAGAAATAAGTTTTATATCCCACAAATAAAGTTTCGAGTATTTGTTTCTCAGTGTAGATTTTAAATTTATTTGTGAAATATAAGTTTATGTTTCACAGAAGTAAACTATATTTCACAGAAAAAAAACTTTGTTTCTGAGAAACAAATTTTATATCCCGTAAATAAATTTTAAAGTATTTTTTCTCAGTATACACTGAGTAGAAAGTATTTGAAAATTTATTTGATATAAAGTATATTTGATAGAGAAAAGTAAACTTTATTACCAACAAATGTTTAGAAATAAACTTTATATCCAACAAATAAATTTTCCAATACTTTTTCCTCAGCGTATATTCTCAGTGTACATTGAAGGCTATTACCAAGGAAATGTACTTCATTGAAGATAACCATTGTTTAACAGAAGAAAAGGAAATAATGCACAAATTTTCTTTAATTAATATCTGAAAATCTATACGATCACTTGCAAAATGGTAGAGGACTTTTTTGTTCAGTTTGACCAATGTGTAAACATACAACGGCAGACGACGCCACTGCAGTTCATCTACCATATCGCGCGTGGTCATTCATCAATCTTTTTTAATTAATATCTTGAGATTTATTACGAATATCGCAAAATAGTATGGGACTTTTATGTTCATCTCAATCCACTTTACGTTCTCACGAAAAATTGTGAAGGTGATCTGGGACACCCTGTATATATATTTATATTGTTAGAAAAGAGTTAAAAGTTGCATGTTTGAACATGTTTGAATGAGTGAACGTGTAGAATAACATAGAGCAAGAAAAAGGAAACTGGGGAAAATAATCCTAACGGCATAAATCAGCACTGAGAACGTTCCCAGGACATCCGCTGGAGATCGATTGTGTATCTGAAAACGGAGTGAAAATGACAAAAGTGAGCAAATTCACTAGAATATTTATAACTTCATTGGTCAATATCTAATGAATTTGCTCACTTTTGTAATTTTCACTCCGTTTCGAGATACACAATCGACTCCCTGGAATCCTGAAGATATCCGACTGAAAACACTACCGTTCGTTTTGAGTGAAACTCAACTCACTCCAAGAAATTTAAAGTGAATGACGACTATCGATTTCTCCCGAGTCTCGCTAGATTGTATGTATATACATACATACATTTGGTATTAAATCAAACGTCTAGAAAAATCGACTTCGTTGCAATATTCGTCAATAAAATTAAGAGTGCGGATGTAAGACGCACTATATGACCTTTGACTATATGACATTCATCACAATAACTAAAAAAAAACGTTGGAGATATAAATACTTCAAATCAAGTTTCCGTAAATCCTTTAATAAAATCTATTTTCTTTATGTTCCTAAAATTCATATCATATACAGAGAAATGTGTATTTACTTGAAATTAATATATCCAAATTAACAATATCATTGTTTCATATATAGAACAATGATATATAACTTTGTTAGAAGAACAAACTGTTAGAAAAATTTTGAAGTCTCGAATTTCAACGATGTTATAATTTGATTTAAATATTATAATAGTTAATAAAATAAATAAAATAAAATAAAATGATTCATTTTATTGGTAAAATATTTTATATGATTATTTTGATGATAATGGTATCTTCTTCCTCAACATTTAGAAACGTCATATATTTCTCAATTCAATATATATTTCGTGCTTTCCATTCGTGAAAAAATTATTTCTGAATGATAAGGATATATATTTTTTTCGTTGAATCACATAAAATATATCGATACAAGTGACTTGTCTTCGTTTAACGCTATGTAATCTCATTTTAAGATTTACATGTCAAAATATTTTCTAAACAGGAATATTCTTTTTTCTGTGTATACTTTCGTCTTTTATACCTCCGACGCTTCTTCAGTCGGACTGTCGGACTTGTAAATGCTCGTCTACAATGCGCAAAGTAAGCTTGGAGTAAAAGAAATGAAAACAATCTTTCTTGCTTATACTTATATTCTAATCCCTTAGGGGTCGTTACTGATGAATTCAATAAAACTTTTCATTTTTCATGAGTTCACGCAAAGGAAATAGATGATCGATTTACAGACTAATAATGCTGACTTTAAAATTATGATCGCATTGTAGACCGGCAATATTTTTTTTAGGGGCCGATGTTTCTAACTCTTTAATAAATTAACAATTAAAAAACATATATTTGTTTTTCCTTCAAATTAAATAAAGATGAACATGATTGAATTGTTAACTTAGTAAGAGGCTAGAAAAATCGGCCCTAGATCAGAGGAATGCTGCTGATGTAAGGAAGCTAGGACGCGGAAATGAAATAAATTATTTGTATATTACTCTCAATTTATGTCATGTTTAGGAGGATTCACACTGCATCTGACTAGATTTCTAGCTAGAAACATTTTTGTCTCTAGAAAATCAATTCTCCTATTGGATATCGAATGTTGTATTACGTTTAATGTCGGACGCAATGCAAATCCTTCATTATTCCGCAGTAAACTATATACATACTGGAATGCTTAGTCCAATGGGAAGAAACGGGCAGAATGAAAGGGAAAACAGGAACCGTTTTCTCTCTTTCTATTGTTGTACTATTCGATCTAAAAATATCTCCTTAGGAAAAATTACTTTAAGTTGTTCAAATTAACTTAACTTTAAACAACTTTAATTTAATTTGAACATCTTAAAATAATTTTTCTTAAAGATCGGCTTGAGCGGTTTGGTTTAGAGACGATATTCATAACCTCTTTATAAAGGCTGCATTTTGAAATTTATAATATACGTGACATAAACTATAGATTTCCAGTACTGGCAGTAAATTTCAGTGAAGAATAATTGTAAGCAGAAAAGAACATAGAAATGTTCAACTAATAAAAAATCACAGAGAAGACAGAGAAAGAAGCGGTGCCTTCAGAAACCTGTCTCTTTTCGCCCGGCTTCTAAGCATTCCAGTATAAGTTGAGTTCACTGTTATTCCGTGTATCGTAGAGGAGCTTTAAGCCCATTCTACAATAGCAATAAACAGTAAAAAGTAGGAAGTAAGAGTGAGAAATTGATCAAATATAGTCGATTATTTACAGTCAATTTCTTACTCTTACATTTTACAAACCATTGTGGACGATCCTTAAGCTTGATCTATAATGTGCTCTTGCTCTCTGTTTCATATTCTTTTTCTGACTTAAGGTTTAAAGTTTGAGTCAAAAAGAAATAAAAAGAAACAAAAAGCAAAGAGCACATTATAGATTAAGCTTTAAGTTCCGAATTATATTACCTTGCGATACCTTCCAACACCCAACAGCTCGGATCGCTACGTAAGCTCGCATACCTAAAATTTGCCCGTGTTTCAGGAAAATCTCGCCGGACGTGCTGCCGTCGTGCTCGCCGGGCGTGTTCCGCCAGAAGTCGTTCCGCTCGTGCACGCCGCCGAAGGTGCCGACGGCGCCGATATTACCAACGTCGGCGACCGCGGCAACACCAGGCTCCAACCCGCGGAACGACAGCCAGGGCGCACCTGCCGCCGCGGCGAACGATCGCTGCGCTCCTCGCGCGCATCTCACCCCCACCACCAGCGCCCCCGTCGCGAGCGCCGTGCCGACACGTGACTGCGGCGCCCGGACAGCCTCGTTGTCGTTGTCGCTGTCGCGGGGCGCCCGAGCAACCGCCAAGCACGCGCGCCTCGGCCCGGCACTGGCCAGCAAAATGGCGTCCGCGAGCTCCTCGACGGTCGTGCAGGGCTGGCCGAATACCAAGGACGATTACGAGCTGAAGGAGGTTATCGGTGAGTACCGATCGACTGGCCGAGTTATCCGACACCTGGACGAATGCGCCGGTCGGTCGGCAAGTCGCGCTCCTGCCTCGATCGCGTGCCCGACCGAGGACGCGCACCGGCCGACCGATCCGGAGGGACAGCGGGTACACGAATGAACGGTAGCAGCTCGTGCTCCGAGATAGCGGAACGTCACGGTGACGACGACGACGACGACGACTGTAACGGTGATGAGGACGACAATGAGGACAAGGACGAGGATGGGCGCGTCGACGTCGGTGACGCGTGGCTTGTCGTTCGCGATGAACGTGCACGCGTGGAAACGGCGCGCTGCGACGACGGTGTCTCGTCCGTCGCGGTGTCTTGAGAATCGGACGACAGCTGGTGGAGCACGTCGTCACAGTCGCTCACTCGCGCTGTCACCGCGTTGCGTTCCGTGCCGTATGACGGTGTACGTTCTGCCCTAACCTAGTTAACGTGCCTGCACCGGAGGACGATGCGGTGTGCGCCTGTCAGGACCGTATCCGTGCATTAGGGTCATGGGCGACCCGGGGGAGCATACTAAATGATTTAGACACGATGAAGTTGAGAGCTCATCAACTTCAAAACGTTCTGCCAAAATTGAAAATCATTAATGTGTGTGTGTGTGTGTGTGTGTGTGTGTGTGTGTGTGTGTGTGTGTGTGTGTGAG